ATAAATAACAATGTTGGGTCTCTCAGAAAACAGTGACTTCACTGCAACACAGTTCAAAAGCACCACAAACTGAAGTCTCCAACTTGCCAGAAAGTTAAATCAGCACTTCTCCGAGACAGTTGAAACGTAAACCGAACATTATAACCGATATGAAGGTCGGATTTATTGCAGAACTGATGGTATTAGTCTGTATTGGTTTAAGCTAGGTGTGCCTAATAAACAGTGGACAATGTGGATATGAAACTATAAAGTTTTCTTTTTTATCTTCACTTTCTTCTCAAATAACCCAGACATTTGTGGAAAAGTTTCCTGTTTCTTGCCTTGTTGGACCTCATTTAAGATTTGAGCTCTGGTGAATGCAATGCCACACTGAAAGCAAAAAATGGTTTGTAGACTAGAATATGAGTTGAAAGACATGTTGATTAAACTTTATTACCTTAGCCAGTCACATTACTGGTCTAATACCACTAACAGAGTTGTGGTAGTCACAGCAGCACAGCAAATGCAGAGCCTTCTTCTTTAAAAGGCTGTGTTAATAAGGCAGAGCTTCAAAGCCCGAGAGCATTGCACAACAAATCTGGAGCCTAAAGGTAGAGTTTTTTTGTTGGTGAAGAGAGCGAAAGTTCAATCATGCCGTGCTATTTATGTTGCCCGTTTTATTTTCCAACACCACGACTTAAAAAATAAATTTATAGAGTTGTCACATATGCAGTTGCTGACTCTGTTGTCAATCAAATTAGCAGGAATACGGCAAAGCTGACGGTTTAAGCCGGTTATGTGACATCAATCCAGTATTTTATCAGTCATAATTCCGCATCACATCGTATCATAATTAAAATGCGTTTGGAGAATAAAACATGAAACATCACTTTTGCCAAAAAAGGTTGGAAAGAAGGCGATGATGCACAGGATTAATTAGTTCGGCATCTCCTGCACAAACTGGCAGAATATTGAGTTATAACCCAGCAGTTTGATGTGCGTGCAGCCTTTTTCCATGTGCGTGTGTGCTTCCTCAAGGTAAACACAGCAGATCATTGTGAGTGATGGCACTTCTCAAACTAGAGGCTGTGTGCTTATCATATACGATAAATCCCTGCTGCCATCAGAGGGCAGCACTACAGATCATTTATCATATCATTTAAGTAACTGAAGGAGGCTTTCACAGATCAGTGCCGACTCTCCTACGATGCCCATTTAAATTTTACACATGATGCATCTATTGGATTCAGAGTGTTCATTCAAAACATCTTTACATTTTTTTTTTTAAATCATTTTTTGGAAGATTTTTTTTTTTTGCTGTACTTGTGGTGCCTTTCCTCTACATATTTAGCTTGCCCTTGTTGACAGAGTCATTGAATTTCCAGCTGAGAGACCCACCAAATTACCAACAGCTTGTTTTGCTTCATTTGAATAAAACGCCCACTTGTTTGCACATCTCCCACCTGTGTGCCATGTGCCATCTCTGCTCTGAACGCAGAGATACCGCACAGATGGGGGGGAAAAGCAAAGTCTCACAGGGCGGCAAAATGTGGTGCTGCTGTTAAAAGAAAGCCCAATTCATTACCTGTGCAACTTCAGTTAAATATAGCTACCACCTGTGTCCTTGCCTCTAAACTTGTCTCCTCCGCAAACACTTTGCAAACTGCTAATTCACTTTGCTTTGACACATTCGGCGACTGAATTTCAACCAGTGTCTCTTTTTTTTCCCCCCCTCTCCAACCCAAGAACTATGATGTTGTGATACAGCAGAGAAATCAGAGATAGGACGTTGGGGTGGACGGTTTGGCACGCAATACAAACGACTATGACACCGAAACCCATACAAAGCGTCTGACTCTGATATAGGAGACTTCTGTTCACGACACGTCTCCCACCAAGTGTCAACACTGGTTTCTTTTGCTCATGATCAGAAGCTTTACCAATCTTAACCCAGTTTCCGATATTTAAAGCAGTATAAATAGTAGTTTTTAGCCTCTTGGAGGTGATGGAACAAGCTGAAAACACCAAATTGGCTATTATCAAGTTAATATATTGATGTGGAAAGCAATAGAAAAGCTGCTGCCTTAGGGCCTGAAGGAAACATTTTGCTATTTCCACTGACCTGCTAATTTTATCTGTTGTCAGGGTTTTTTGTTGTTTTTTTACTGGACGGACTGCTAAAAATGGAAGTCAGGTAGTCATATTTTTTTGTATAAAACATATTGATTTAAGCCAATTGATTGACCCTGCTAAGTTATTTCACAGCAGGGGGACATTACCTTTTGCAGATTTTCAGCCAGAGAATTTTACTGTCCCATATAGAAATCCTGGGTTTCCATTCTACAAGCAGACAGCTATTATACAGGTTTGGCTTATGAGCATTTAACTCCTTTCAGAATAAATGTTCTAAAGGCGAAACTGGTTTGGGGTAAAACTATAAATATACTAAAATGGTTAGAATGAGTCCCACCAAAATGACCTGGCAGGGCAGAGGAAGATTTGGAATATTTGAAGAGTTCATTTGCAAAAACAGATAACTCCATTTTTGCAGATTTTCAGAAAACTTTTTTTTTTGGTTGTTTGCTTGAGATAATATCAATCAAACTGAAGTTGAGTGGATTGGACTCAGTAGAAAAGACGAAAATAGAGGTAACTGAAGTTTGATTGATATTGTCTCAGGTAGATGATGGAAAAATGGGTTTTCTGAAGGTTTGTAAAGATGGAGTTATCTGTTTTTGCAAATGAACTATTCTTCATTTAGAAAATGGAACTAAAAATAGTGATTCTTTAGAAGCTATACTGAGATTTTCTCAGCTGGATGGGGGAGTTCGGACTCATGACCTTAGTGAAATCCTGGCTACAGCCCTGACTGGGAGTCCTCTCTCACTTTCATTCAGTGATGGACAGTGAGGCCACTCAGTATGCTGCAACCCACCTCCCACCCCCTCCTCCTCACTTCCCAAACTCGCATCTTCTACAGACTTATTCTTTCCTTTCTCCACTTTCCTCCTAAAAAAAAAAAAAAAAAATCCCCGGTTCCTGTGGAGTGGCTGGTTTTGTGTGGTCCCAGCACTGTCCCGTTTTTTATCACTCCTCTGACGGGTTACCCCGGTCCCCCCTCGCACCTGCGCCGCTCCCAGGTCCCTACAGGAATGCGCTGGGGCTTGTAATCGCCTTTGTGGGGGCCATTGAGTTGTACGGCTGACTGAAACTTCCCAACCTCACAGCGCGCTGGCCGCTGAATGGGGCTCAGCGTGGGGCGGCTCTCCAAACCACGGACGCTGCCAAATTCCTACAGTGGCGCTCCACAATCACTCCCACACAGGCCCCGATATACCGCCAGGCAGTGGGGTGGGGTGGG